CAAGGAGGCGGAATTCCAGGAGGGATTCCCGGGAATGCCGCTGAGGCAGCGGAGCAGCAGCGAGGTGACGCTGAGCGAGTGCGATCCCGAGGAAACCCCGGAGACGCGCGGGAATTCCGCCGGCGCCGCCGGGCTCTTCCGGGAATACGGCAGCACCTCTTCCATCGACGTCCAGGGAATTCCCGAGCAAAGCTTCTTCGAGATGCTCAACGAGTTCCGGACTAAGAAACCGGAATTTTCCGGGATCAAAGCGGAAAGCCGGGAAGAGCCGCCCCAGTCCAAGGAGAAACCGCGCCGGCGCTGCCTGAAAAACGACGACTCCATCTTCAAAAAGCTCCGCACTCCCCGGCACGACCCCGACCCCAAAGATCCCGACGATTCCCGCCTTCCCGAGCCGGGAAAGTCTTGGATTTGCCGGAAGAGTTTCGCTCATTTCGACGTCCAGAGCATTTTCTTCGAGGCCGTTTCTCCGGGAATCGCCGGGACCCAGCGGCGGAACACGACCACCGGCGCCTCCGCCGCCTCCGCCGGCTCCGACCCCGCCTTTTCCAGCACCGAGGACCTGAATTCCAAGGAAAACTTGGAGCAGGACCTGGGGGACAACACCAGCAACGAGCTGCTGCTGAGCTGCCCCCACTTCCGCAACGAGATCGGCGGCGGCGCCGGAGAGCGCGACGTCAGCTTCTCCAAATCCGCCTCCCCGGCCGCTCCCGGCGTTTTCACCGAATGCGGCCACGTCGGGAAGCCGACCAACGCCGGCATCTCCGTCCTGGAGTTCCCCAAGGAGCAGCAGAGGAACCCGGAAAGGCTCCGGAATTACAGCGTGGAGCACGTGGATCTGGGAGCGCGCTACTACCGGGATTATTTCCATGGGAAAGGTTCGGGAATCTCCAGAGGGAAGGGAGGGGCGGGATTTGCCCCATCCCGAAATTCCGTGGTTTCCTCTTCTCGAGCCTCCCCAAATTCCCTCTTTTCCCAATTCTTCCCATTTTTTTCCCCTGGATTCCTCACATTTTCTTCCATTTCCCTTCATTTTTCCTGCATTTTTTCCCCCCATTATTCCCAGAATTTTCCCCCCTTTTTTCCCCTGAATTTTTCCCCATTTTTCCCTGAATTTTTTCCCTATTTTCCCTGAATTTTTTCCTGAATTTTCCCTGAATTTTTTCCCTATTTTCCCCCCCATTTTCCCCCCTCCAATTCCCATTTTTCCCGCTTTTCCCCCCAGAACATTCCAACTACTTTGGCGTGGACGAGAAGCTGGGCCCGGTGGCCGTCAGCATCCGCCGGGAAAAGCTGGAGGAGCCTTCGGACCACGGCCCCCAATTCCAGCACCGCCTCATCTTCCGCACCAGCCAGGTCCCAACCGGCCGGGAACGCCGCCGGAATCCCGGGGAAAAAAATGGGATTTGTGTGGAGAATTGGGGGAAATCGGGGAAATTCCCTCCTCAAAGATTGAATCGAGCCCTTGGAATTGCCAAATCCCAGAATCCCCCAAAATCCCAGGGACCCCCCCCCAAATCCAAAGCCTTGGAATTTGGACGTTTGTCCCCGTGGAAATTCCTCAGGAAGAACCTGGGAAATGGTGGATTTGATTCCGGGAAAATTCCCAAAAATGCCCTGGAATTGGTGGATTTATCCCCACGAAAATTCCCTGAAATTCCGGAGGAATTGAGGATTCTTGGGGGAAAAATTCCCTCAATTTTGGGATAAAATTCCCCCAATTTTGTGATAAAATTCCCACAATTTCAGGATAAAATTCCCCCAATTTTGGGATCAAATTCCCACCATTCCCAGCATAAACCCCCCCCAATTCCAGGATAAAACCCCCAGAATTTTCCCTCCTTTCCTCCCCGTTTTCGAGGCGTCCATCCCGGATTTTTTTCCCCGCTTTTGATCCCGGATTTTTCCCGTTTTTCCAGCTGCCCACGCTCCGAGGCTCCATCCTGGAGGATGCCACCCCCAGCGCGTCCAAGGCCGGCTCCATCCGGGGGATCCCGCTCCGGGACGTGCTGGAATTCGTCGTTCCCGAGCTCAACATCCACTGCCTGCGGATGGCGCTGGCCACGCCCAAGGTCCCCGAGCAGCTGCTCAAGCTGGACGAGCAGGGGGTGAGAATTCCCGGGATTTCGGGGGATTCTGGGGATTTTTTCTGGATTTTCTGGGAATTTTTTGGGATTTTCTGGGAATTTTTGGGAAATTTTTTTTTTATTTTTTGGGAATTTTTTTGGATTTTTTTTTTTATTTTCTGGGGATTTTTGGGGAATTTTTTTGAGGGGTTTTTTTTTTGGATTTTCTGGGATTTTTGGGGGAATTTCTGGGATTTTCTGTGATTCCTTGGATTTGCCATTTTTTGGGAGTGGAATTTATTGGGATTTCCTGCACTTCCCGTAATTCCCACCACCACCCAATCCCAAACATCCCAAAACCCCCAACCCTCCCCACCCCCCCGATCCCGAATCTCCCGCGGAACCCCCCGGAACGCGGAATTGCCGTTTTCCCGCAGCTGTGCCGGCGGCACAAGGTGGGAATTCTGTACTGCCGGGCGGGGCAGAGCTCGGAGGAGGAGATGTACAACAACGAATCCGCCGGGCCCGCGCTCGACGAGTTCCTGACGCTCCTGGGAGAGAAGGTTTCCCTCAAATCCTTCCCCAAGTACGCGGCGCAGCTCGACACCAAGAGTGAGTGCCGGCTTTTCCCGGGATCCCGGGGGCTGGGTGGGAGATTCCAGAGATCCCAAAGGTTGGGGGATCCCAAAAATTGGGGGATCCCAAGGGTTGAAGGATTCCTGGAGTTGGGGGATCCCAAGAATTGGGGGATCCCAAGGGTTGAAGGATCCCAAGGGTTGGGTGGAAGATTCCAGAAGTTGGGGGATCCCAAGGGTTGAAGGATTTCAGGAAAGGATCCCAAGAGTTCAGGGATCCCAGGGGGTGAAGGATCCCAAGAGTTTGGGGCAATCCCAGGGGTTGGGTGGTCCCAGTTGGACCCCAAGAGTGAGATTTGGGATTTCACCGGATCCGTGTTTTGGGTTTTCACCGGATTTGCTTTTCCCGCCTTTCCGCAGCCGACTCGACGGGCACGCACTCGCTCTACACCACGTACCAGGACTACGAGATCATGTTCCACGTGTCCACCATGCTGCCCTACACCCCCAACAACCGCCAGCAGGTACCGCCGGGAAATCCCGGGAATTCCCGGGAATCCGCTCCCCGGAGATCGGCGCGTCCCGGGGCTTGGGGGGGGCCAGAAATCTGGGAATTCCAAGGGTTGGAGGATCCCAAGGCTCGGATGATCCCAGGGTTGGTTGAGGGATCCAAGGGTTGGAGGATCCCTGAGATCAGGGAATCCCAAGAGTTCCAGGAATCTGGAAATCCAAGGATTCCATGAATTGATGGATCCCAAGGATTGACGGATCCCAAGGATTGACGGATCCCAAGGATTGGTTGATCCCAAGGGTTGAAGGATCCCAAAAGTTGGTCGATCCCAAGGATCGCAGCCTCCCAAGAACCGAGCGATCCCAAACCTTGCTCGGACCCCCCCAAATCTTCATCCCACACGTTCCCAATTCCCTTTTTTTCCCTTCTCCCAACCTTTCCATTCCCAGCTGCTCCGGAAGCGCCACATCGGCAACGACATCGTCACCATCATCTTCCAGGAGCCGGGCGCGCTGCCCTTCACGCCCCAGAACATCCGCTCGCACTTCCAGCACGTCTTCATCATCGTCCGCGCCCACCAGCCCTGCTCCGACAGCGTCTCCTACAGGTGGATCCCCCTGGAATCACCCTGGAATCCCCCTGGAATCCCCCTGGATCCCTCTGGAATCCCTCTGGATCCCTCCGGAAAAAAATCCCGGAAAAAATCCTGCAAAAATCTCCAAAAAATCGGCAAAAATCTGGAAAAAATTCCATAAAAATCCCACAGAAATTTCCTCAAAGATCACTCAGAAATCCTGCAAAAAATTCGTTAAAAGTCCCACAAAAATTTCCTCAAAAATCCCATAAAAAAACCTGCAAAAAAACCTGGAAAAAGTATCATTAAAATCTGGCAAAAAGTTCCTCAAAAGTTCCTTAAAAATCCCGCAGAAAATTCCTTAAAAATCCCGCAAAAACTTCCTCAAAAATCACGTAAAAAATCCTGCAAAAACCTTAAAAAAATCTGTAAAAATTCCCCCCAAAACCCTCTCAAATCCCCCCAAAACCCCCTGACATTCCCGTTTTCCCCCCCAGCGTGGCCGTCACCCGCTCCAAGGACGTCCCTCCCTTCGGGCCCCCGCTGCCCCCGGCCGGCGTCACCTTCCGCCGCTCCGAGCTGTTCCGCGCCTTCCTGCTGGCCAAGGCCATCAACGCCGAGAACGCCGCGCACAAATCGCACAAGTTCCGCACCATGGCCACGCGCACGCGCCACGAGTACCTGCGCGACCTGGCCGAGAACTACGCCGGCGGCTCCCCGCTGGACACGGCCGGCAAGTTCAACCTCATCTCCTTGGCCTCCAAGAAGAAGG